TTTTGTTTTAAACCAAAATAACTTGAAAAGAATCAAGTTTTGAGATTATATTTAATATTCTTGAAAAATGAAAAATATTTCAAGATATTAGCAAAATGAAATTGCTTATTGTTCTTAATTGTTAGTGCATTTTAGAGTAATTTAGTAAACTTTTTGTTTTAGTTTTCATTGGCCTTTTTCAACTGAGAGACGCTCTAACAAAAAAATATGGATGTAAACAATGAAGTTTACAACTGAAAGCATTTAGAACAATTAAATGCAAATAAGTTCTATTACTAAAGATTCCAAGTCAGTTTTTTACTATCAAGATCCATGTGCATATGAGGAATAAGAAAGATGAGAAAAGGTAGCCAATAGTCTTGGAAGATATTCAGCCTCACTACTAGTTAAAGAAATGCAAATAAAATCGGTATGATCCCATTTTTTCTTTTTAATACTGAATAAGGCAATAAATACCCACCCAGCTTTAATAAATCTTAACATGTTGACATATTAGCTTTAACTATTTTTTAGAGATATTCACAAATGTCCCAGAAGCCCCTTGAATGCCGCCTCACTGATTTCATTCCCCTCTCCTCCTTTCCCAGAAGTAACAACTATCCTGAATTTGGTATGTTATATCTACACATATTTTTCATACCCTTACTACATATACCTGTGTTGTTTATATATTTACTACTTACATATATTTATAAGCAATCAGTATTGATGGATGTTTTAAAATTTTTTTCATTTAAATTTATGGTTTGCTATTTTTCCGTGTTGATACATGTAAATATAATTCATTCATTTAAACTGCTAAATTAAGTTTCTTTGTATGGCTATACTTGTGTTTACTTATCTACTTTCCTTTTGATGGAAATATTTCCAGTATTTTATCATTATCAAAATGCTTCAATGGAAATAACATTTTTTATATCTCAAAATGACAAGAGATTTAAAATTAAAATACTCCATGTTAATGAGGCTTACTGGTAGGAATGCAATTTGATACAATCTTTCTGGAAAACAATTTGGCAAGATGTACCAAGAACCTTAAAATACGTATACAGATCTTCCTTGACTTATGACGGTTACATCCCAATAAACTCATTGTAAGTTGAAAACACAGGAAGCCAAAAATTCATTTAATACACATAACCTGCTGAACGTCATAGCTTAGCCTAGCCTACCTTAAACATGCTCAGAACACTTCCATTAGCCTACAGTTGGGCAAAATCATCTAACACAAAGTCTATTTTATAATAAAGTGTTGACTCTCATGTAATTTAGTGAATACTGTACTGAAAGTGAAAAACAGAATGTTTGTATGGGTACAGAACAGTTGTAAGTGTATCAGTATTTTACCCTTGTGATCCTGTAGCTGACTGGGAGCTGCCCTGCACAGCGTGACAAGAGAGTATGGTACTGCATATCGATTAGCCTGGGAAAAGATCAAAATTCGAAGTACAGTTTCTACTGAATGCCTATCGCTTTTGCACCATCATAAAGTCAAAAACTCATTAGTCGAACCATCATAAATTGGGGACTGTCTGTACTCATTAACCCTATAACCTTACTTCTAAAAATGTACTCTATAGGTTGTTATCAAAGTGTAGTCCACAGACAACAAACATCAGCACATGCAAATTCCTGGGGGGCTACCTCAAACCTACTGAGTCAGAAGCTTTGGGGATGAGAATAAGCAATTTGTGGTTTACCAAGTCCAACAGGTGATTCTAAAGCATGCGAAAGTTTAAAAACCAATTGCTCTAGATAAAGGATCAGAAAGTCCCAAGGATATTCACTACAGAAGCATTTAATAAAAAGATGGGACTCACCCTCAGTGGCCTACAAAGGAAAATGTTGATATAAATAATAAACAAATATAGGATAAAACATTTAATTACATGGGAAAATGGCTTTGACATTATGCTATAATAAAATGGCATGATCTAAAGTTGTGTATTTGGCAAAATCATAATTTTGAAAAGGTTATATGTATATATACATATATACATACCATCCTATTCAAAGGTATTGAATGAAATAAGAATATTCACAGAAATGTACACATACTTATAGTCTGAATCAATGTATTTACATATAGTTAATATATCACTCATTTATGCTATTATTTGAGACCTCACTAGTTATCTATTTATTAACTATGGAAAAATGATAAATAATATCTATGTTTTTATAAACGTACATAATTGCTAATGAGTTTTTTACTCCAAATACCATGATGCTCTGATGTGCAAATAGGTTCCCAACAGGAAAACTGAGTTTAAAAAAAGATGTTATCTTACACGATAATTTACTTAACATTGATAGACATTATCTAGATATAACCTTTAACTGTAACATATATTCACACATATTCTAAAAGTCTATTAATAGAAATTTAGAGAATGTTAAAACTAATTTAATGGTGCAATATCCAGTGAAACACAGACGTAAACTCTATGTCAACGGAACTTGCAAATTTAAAAGAATGAACTTTAAATTCTTTGGCAGTTGAATTTCTATGTAAAGTTCTTAGTATTCTCTCTGGCTATCAAATGGGGCATTACAACCTCAACATTCATTTACATAATTCAAATGTTAAATATCCTATTATATACTATATATAACACCATTTTTAAAAAAATAATGAATATAATTCGCTCACAACTAATGTCTATACCATGATCAAACTTTAATTTCAGTTTTCCTGAACTGGAGAATAGGTTTTGTCTGAGCTCTGTAGAATTTACATTCCATTTTAACTTGTAATTCTCAATATGTTCCTATTACATAAGAGAATAATAGGGAGTCTGCCTGCAGTTAGTTTAATACCTTTAAGTTCCCAAGGATCACAATGAAACACCACATAGCCCAGCATGCTTCATATTTCAAAGGTTGTGGGCTGTGAACATTGCACTTTTATTAAAATTCCTATTAACTTTTTTTGCTATGAATCTAAATATAAAATTACTTTATCACTTTTCTATAGAATAAAAAAGTGAAGAATTTATTACTGTATTTCCAACTACTTATCTAGCCCAAAATGGAAAAAGAAATTTAGAAAAGTCAACTATATTATAGCCTAACAACAATCCGTTTTTGAATATTTTAATATTGAAATGGCACAATTACACCTTTATTCATGTAGCAATTTGTCCAACAGATACTTAGCACTGAGCTTCTACTACATGCCAAGGAATCATGTTAAGCATTAGGGATAGAACAGTGACAACAAGTGAGTCCCCGCCGTCACAAAGCATTCATTCCAGTGAGAGCGATAGATAATAAACACAGAACACTTCCAGTACTGATACCGTGAGAAAGAAAGAGAGAAGTTTTAAACTAATATCTAAAAAGGGGTCAGAATTAAACAGGAAAAGTGGATAGAAGGATTCCAATAATACAGCAAAGCCTATACAGAGGTCCCAAGGGGAGACACTGCCGATGAGAACAGCCCTAAGGAGAGAGAGGAGGGGAGAGGTGCCAGAAAATCCCACGCAAAGGAGAAGTGGGTACAGGACGAGGCTGGGGTAAGGCAAGACCAGATGATCATGACAGGATATTGAGCTTATCCTGGAAGCACTAGGAAGCCACTGATGTGTCATGAGTCTACCCCTGACTACTAAGGGAGAGAAGACCATGAGGCACAAAGACACTGCTGTGGGCCAGGCGAGAGAGGGTAGGGGCCTGGACTGAAGTGATACCATTTCAGATGGAGAGAGACAGACATATTGACAGTCTGTTTGGGAATCTGTGTTGGACATAGAACTTGGTCATATATTGGATAAGGGGAGAGGTGGACTGTGGGTGTGAAAGGTCAAAGTTGACCCCTAGTTGACTCATCTGGAAAGAGCTGAGCTGTCGTCTACTAAGGTAGAAGCACTGGAGGGGGCAGGCATACTGTATGAACTTTGAGATGCCAGGAAGACATACAAGTGAAAATATCAAAAACAGACATATATTCATCTGGCGCTCAAGGGGAGGTCTGGGCTAAAAAAAAATCTAAATTTATCTTTTTAATCTTAACTTTCACTTCCAATTAAATGTAACACATGACCTTTGGGGAAAAAAAGCATTAAAAAGTACCACAGTTCTTTTTCTGTATGAACACACACACGAATATATAATTATTATTTATAAGATATTGGATTATATTGTTTTTAATCTGATTTTTAACTCAATGTACTTTAAGCATATTTTCTTTAGAGAAATATAAACTTCTTCTGCTATGTGTAATTTTACTGAGTACACAATGTTGCTTTCTATAGCCATAATGAAAATTATAAAACCAATTCTTTTAATAAACGTACATGGTTCCTAATATTTTGCTACAATAACCAGTTGTACAATGAACACTCATGTCTTTGTGCATTTTAGCGAAATTTATAGTTCATAAGAAATACTACACCATATATGTGCCTGATGTATACAGACAGGACTAAATTAATACACTACTATAGCCAAGAAGAGGGAAATAATGTCGTAATTTTGTGTGCAAAGAACCATAAAGAAAGTTTTGCAGGGCTGGCCCCGTGGCTGAATGGTTAAGTTTGCCGGCTCTGCTGTGGTGGCCCAGGGCTTCGCTGGTTTGAACCCTGGGCGCAGACATGGCACCACTCATCAGGCCACGCTGAGGCAGCGTCCCACGTGCCACAACTAGAAAGACCCACATCTAGAATACTACAACTATGTACTGGGGGGATTTGGAGAGAAAAAGAAGGAAGAAAAAAAAAACGAAGAAGAAGATTGGCAACAGTTCTTAGCTCAGGTGCCAATCTTTAAAGAAAAAAAATAAAAAAGCAAAAAAGGAAAGTTTTGCATTTTTCTCGCAATCTTAAATGTTTTAAAGCTGCAAGTAGGTATACGGATATCAATTTCAACACTAGGAATGAAAACTTTTTAGTTTATAGGAGGATGTAGCTTCTAAGAAATAAAAAAAATTCTATGACAGTAGACTTCCTGCCTTTCTTCCCTTTCAGTCCACACGAAAGGCCCTGTCAACAGTGTCGGGGGTGCTCACGTCGGCAGCACACATACTAAAATTGGAACCATACAGAGAGGGTTAGCATGGCCCCTGCACAAGGGGGACAGGCAAGTTCATGAAGCCTTCCATATTTTAAATTAAGAGAGTAGATCCTAAGAGTTCTCATCACAAGGAGAAATTTATTTTCGTTTCTTTTTATTGTATCTATATGAGATGACAGATGTCAACTAAACCTATTGTGGTAATCATTTCACAACATCTGTAAATCAAACCATCACGCTGTATGCCTCAAACTTATACAGTTGTATGTCAATTATTTCTCAATAAAACTGCAAAAACAAAGAAAGAAAGAATGTCAGGGTGTATAAAAATTCCAAATGAGGAATGAGCATCCTTCAGTTCTGGAGACCTAGCTCGCTTGTGCCTCCATGCACACACCTATCTCTGATCTCAGTTTACTTGGTCACATCATTCGTAATATACATATGATTTTTTTAAATCAAGAGCAAAAGAGAATCATGTTTCCAAGCTCCGATTTCTGAAAGCAGCATCCAGGCCTGTACACCAGGAAATACAGAAGCATCTGATGAAAACCATTCCTTCAGAGGAGGATGCATTTCCTCTTTAATGCTTTTCTCTCCAATACTTCAATAACAAGCACAAAAGGACATGTGGGCAATCTGTTTCCTTTGAGAGTCCAGTCACTGCTGAGCTTGCAGGGGGTGCTTGCTGCTCTTGGTAACGGATATCACCTAGGCATTTTCAACTCCCTTTACTGCGCCCCCCATCCCACCTGCAAACTGGAAATCAAAGAAAGAGGACTCTCAAAAACATGAAATCCTCTTTTGCCTGGTGGGATATCTTTATTCCTGAGCAATTTCTCCAAATAACACCCTTGAGTCTCTGAAAATGTAAAAATTGCCTGTAGAGTCAAGGCAAATGAGGGCTAAATCCATTCATTATTTCCCTCTAGACTCTCATTCACCTCTAGCTGTAGGAAGCACCACAAACACAGGATTGATCAAAAGTGTATAAACATATTATCCAGATACTCAGGTTGTTACAGGGATCGTTTTTTGTTCTTCATGTTAATGTAAGCAAAGCTGAGCAATGGAAATGTTCAGGTAAAAAGAGAAATTTTTCTCTCTGAAAGATTTCTCATTCTGAATATTTTATTCCGTTTCCTTTGAATTCCATGGCAAATACTAAAATCTGTTCATATTTGACCTCTTCACGGATCCTTGCCTATGTCTTCATTACCCAGCAAAGAGTAAGCATAACTGAAAAGCAATCCATCGCCCTAATCTTTGCTTTGTTATGGATTCTCTTGGAATCTCTCAGGATAGTCTAAATTGTGTTTTGGTAGCAAAGTACTCCAAACTCTCAGTGGTGGAATACAACATAATACTGGTCAACACTCGGGGCCCTGGTGGATAGATCAGCCACCACCTCAAATGTTGCCAGTCAACACACCAAAGGGAAAGGGAGTGCTGAAGGGCCTCACAAAGACTGTTCAATGCTCTGGCACAGAAGTGGCATGTTCCAGTCACTTCTATCCGCAGCTCATTGGCTAGAGCTAAACATATGGTCCCACCAAAAAGAGACCAACAAGTACAATACTAAAATGGTTCTGAAGGCAAGGAGCCAGAAATAGTTGAGGAATAGCAACAAAACCACCCTTGTCTTCTAAAAGAACTATTTGTTTTCTTTTAAAAATATTGTAGGGAAAATTGAGAAAAGCTAACTTATAGCAATGTATAGAAAAACATGCATTTTTCATTGTTAAGAGTCTGCTTATAAAACGTAACGTTCCACCAGCTGCATGCATCATTTCTTTGTAAATAACAACAACATTAAAGCTATGACTCTCTTATCTCCAAATGTACATACTTCGGGACTTCCATCAATTACACTTCATCTTTGCCAAAAAGGTTTTGAGGTAGCTTACAAAGATACATAAAACAAAATAGAATAAGGAACAGTAAGCCAGGAGAACGAGAAAAGAAGAAGACAAAGCTAAAAATGAAATTAGAATACAATAACTGTGACAAGAGATCTGGTATGCTTTTCTAGAAGTCAGTGACAAATTTGGCTCTGAACATTCCAGGAACCATGCAAAAACAGAACTATGATCAATGGTTTGATGCATAGTATCTGCCACGAGAAGTAGCACATGGGTCCTCTTGGACAGGGAACGTATAACACAATGCAGAAAGTAACAGAAAGCACGGCTCGAACAGGCGTAACGCGATAAGGCTGTGTCTTTTATCTTTTGCTATAGTCTCACAGTCACACATCACAAGCATTTTTATTATTATTGTCAGGTTTACTGATAATTATTATAATGATTTGGTTGTATTTGTCAATACCCTACATTTTTAAGGGCATCCAGGATATTGAATGAAGCAAAGAAGAAAGGTTTCTCTCCCAAATGTAACATTCATATAACCCACAGCTCACAAACGGTCATAAAGACTGTGGAATGTGGCCTTCAACTGTTTGTTTACTTCACACAGTACTGTCCGTGAACTTGAATTTGCCTATCTTTAGGTCTAGAATACACTCTCCAGTTTGGCCATAATTTCTTACCTCTTCCTACCATGATCCAGTTTATGTCCTCCATGTAGCCCCCGTAGGAATTTCAGTTTGAGACCCTTGGTGCAAACTACAGTGACTCAGTAAAATAAAATGTTTCATAAAATTCAGTGACTGTTCCCTCTGTACCAGCTGCTTTGAGGAAATATAAAACAAACAATAACTACACTGATGTTTCTCAAACAGTTAATTCTGTTGGGAAAGATAATAGCAAAACATTCGAGAACATATAGTACTAAAATGACAGTAACTTTTCTATATATTTTATGGCTCTTTATATTTCAGCAAGCTATTTCACATTCACCACTGCAGGGAGTTCTTTCAGGAGTCCCAAGAAACAACCAAAATAAGGATTAGAATTTCTATTTTTCAGATAAAAACACTGAGATGCATAAAGGTAAGTTGCCTTACCCCAAGTCACAAGGCTAATTACAGATATAGCGTAGACTCCATGGGAGAACTCTGTCTGTCACAGTTGTGTATCCTGCACAGCACCACATACAGTAGGCGTTTCATAAACATTCTCCAAATTAACAACCAAAAGAACCTGGGGTCCACACACATATTGGTTCATAAACATGGACAGTAGAAGAAAGCTTATAGACAGGAAAGATCAGGATCCACAAATCTCTCTCTATCTTACCCAATATTTGTGGACTATATACAAAAACCAGATGCTATTTGTGGCCCCAAGACACTTGTAATATGCAGGAAAGATGAAAAATACAAAAATTTATATGTAAATATAACATCCCAAACATTCAGGAAAGGATCGGGGATTACCCTCACTGCTAAAAAGAAAAAAAAAAAAAAAATCAATGGATTTACTCACAGGAAAGTATTCTAGAGTTTGAGGACTTTAAAAATAAGCAGAGCTATAATACTTACACTACTTATGGCAATATTATCTGTAATAGCAAAATATTAGAAACTACGTTAATGCCCATTGAGAGAAGCTAATAGAACAAACTATGGTACATCATCACAGTGGAATATTATGCAGCCCCATAAAGGCATAATAAAGAGGACCATACTAACATTTGTGATTTTTAGGCTATACTGCAAAGTGAAAAATTTCAAGGCACAGACATATATATATATACACACACACACATAGATATACACATACACATATATATTAAACATACATACACACATATTTTGTACATACACACATATAATATATGCATGTATACACACATGTATGTGTGTATATATGGGTAGGAATAGATAAGAAGATGTGCATAGAAACATACCTTATTACATTTTCAAAAAAAGAATGAAGAAACACTGACGGCATAAACCAAAAACTAATAAAAATGGTAACCTCTGGAGTGCAAGGTATGGCAGAGGTTTTTATAAAAAATGAGACTTTTAAGAATTTACTTTGTTACCGAGTTTTGACTTTGGAATCATACAATGATTTACATATAAAAAAAATTAAAAAGCAATCTCCAAAAATCAAAAACAATTTGAAATGAATGAACCTAATTGTATACCAAATTTGTGACATAAGCACAAAGAGAAAAGGATTCACACTTCAAGTGATCTTAGCACAAAGTACAAGACTGTGACCACACATCCTTTGTAGTTTACATTCTGAGAGCAAATAGAGCGGCACAGGATGTTTCATCACGGTCAGAGAAAATCCAGCTTGTTTTAGGAAAGTGATGTGGTCTCGGCAACAATGAAACAGGTGGAGAACAAGTAGCTGAGCCTAGTCAATAAGGATACTTGGGGGCATTAGGTTTCCCAAAGACAAAGCTTGAGATAATGAAAACTTCATAACAAGTAAATTCAGACATGTCTCTCAGCAAGGCTGTGCGAGGATCACTGTATGCACGCATCAATGAGGTAACAAGCACTCATTTCTTTGATCCATTTCGAAGACCACTTACAAAGAGACTACTTTACAAATAGATTAAGGAGGTTAAGGAAACTGGACTTAAGGCACAATTTTCATAAGCCTAGGAGTGACTAGAATATTATCTGCTAGATATTATTCACCCATTCATCTTTACTGAACAGGAGGAAATGGATTACAATGGAAGCAGAAAAGAAATTAGATCAGACTAAAGAACATCTTTGAAAAGCAAGGATTAAACACTGGAATAGGGAGATTACAGAACATCTTTCCAAAACAATAGACTCTCTGTTCTTTTACCTGGACTTAAAGCCATGGTGAAACCCATCAAGATATTCGAGAACATAAAATTTCTTAAGATAAAATGTCCACAGTGGGGTGAGGCGAGATGTTAGCATTTACAAAAATACAGACTAATGTTGAGTTTTGAGCCAAAATATTTTGTGATTCTCAAGTTACTTTACGTAAATTTTGTGACACATTTATTTGATAAAAAAACAAACTTGGCCTTGTAGTTAGCAATATATCCCACTTGCTTGTGAATAGAATTAAATGCGCTATTGTAAAATTATAAACTTTAAAGAATGTGAAAATACATTTGGTTCTTTTAATAAAAATTCAAAATGAACACTATCAACTACATAAACCTGAATATATTTTGATTGGAAGTTTAACA